GACATTCTTTTCTCAAATTGAAATGATGTGCTCTTGCATTATGGCAGGATAATTCTCCCATATATGCCACTAAGATAAACTTGACAAAATGTGGTAAAAAACTCTTTAGGGTCCTTGGATTTGATAAGAATAGCCTATTTATGAGTTCCACTGCGGTTAGATCAGCTACCTAATATCTGAAAGTGACAAAATTGGTTGAGTTTTTTTTTTTTTTTCTTTTTGCTAAAATATATTCAAATGAGAAAAAATTGACATATGTACAATTTTAATTTGAGGTTATTCAAACTCTAAATGAATGAAGGGTTTAGGGATTTAATCTCCTTAACTTGTTTCAGCCTCTTTTTAGGGGGACCAGAAATGACTGGACAACAGACTTGAAAAGGCTACTTGATTGGCAGGTGTGTGCATTTCCTTCATTTTGCTATTACTAATTAAGCAGATTAAAAGGCTTGGAGTCGATTTTAGGTGTGCAGCTTTCGTTTGGGGATTTTGCAGTGAACAGACAGCATAGGATCAAAGACCTCTTCATGCAGGTCAAACAAGCTGAAAAAAGTAAACCAATCCATTAATGAAATGGTTCAGTATTAGGAAACCTGATGTGTCATAAGTTAAATGAAACATGATAGGAAGCTCAGGTGGAGTGAAATGGGTTGGATGGCATCGTTATCTTTGAAAAACATTTAAAAAGAAGCAGAGAGTGGCTTCGTTGAAGACATAATGAGGACATGTGAATAAATCAGGCAAAGTTTCTTAAGGCCATCCCTTAGTGAGTGAGGCCATCTAGAAACTTGTCCTGCCAAACTTATGAAAGGGATACTGAGAAGATCAAAAGCGTCTTTTTTTGCTCATAATGTACTGCTGAAGCGGTAAATTAGCTGGTGTCTGAGCCCAAGGCATGCGTAAAACCAGCAGCACACGCCGGCCCGGTCACAGTAGGAGGGGCCTCAGAGCGTGTGTGTGTGTGTGGGGAAGTCTGGGACAAAGGTTCGCAGAGGCTGGATCTGATGAATCACATGGCTCTAAACAGACCGTTTTCTTTGTATCCCTCCTTCACGGCTTTGATCTAAGCTGAGCAAATCGAGTGGGCATGCTCACCCACGTGCTGTCTCTGCTGTAATTGCCAGTAGTGTTCATTGGCCTACCTGCAGTCTTCTGACACTGCTGGTGGATCGCCGATGGAGTATTATGTCCTCTGGTCCTGGATCTGAACCCTGACCGGAGGCCCAGTCTGACTGAGTGGCAGCATTTAGCTGTGTAGCTCCGGCCTGGAAGAAAACAGAAGATGAACTTTGTATTAGCTAAACAACTATTCAGACAGGCTTTTTGATTTTTATTTATTTATTTATTTTCATCAAAAGAGATTTCACATCACATTTAATTGGGTGTGGAAACCGAAAAGAAAACAGCTGAGAGAGAAATTTGACCAAACAGGGAAGTTTTAGGGTATTATATTAAGATTGTTAAAGTAGAACATTTGGAAAGTGCCAAACACTTTTATAAATAGTGATTATAACTCTGGAAATGTGCAGTAAGAACTGTTTTTTTTTTCTGAAAAAGTAAACATATCTGAGTCCTTAAACCACCTCTGTGCTTATTCTAGCATCGGTTCTTGTGTTTCCACCAGCAAAGCATTGGAACTAACACCAGACAGCTGGTGCTATTCAAGCACCGATTCCTCACTGGGCCAGAGGAACGACAGGAAACCAGTTATACTGCTGGGAGTGATATCACCGAAATGACTTTGACCCCGATGGTGGTCTAAAATCTAGATTTTTTTTTCTTCTTTTTCTTCCCCACTGGGATCAGTAATCAGCAAATATTTCTTCCTAAAACACCAGTTTACATGTGTTACACTGCAGTTGGCTGAATTCAGGAAAACAATACTAGAACAAAAGGTTTAAAAGCAATAAAATACAATAAAAAATAAAACTGACTTCAATTTTCACAAATGTTTTAGCCAAATTCCTCTTGGTGATCCAAGGCCTAATTTTAAAGAGAGATCTTTATTACCATCATATCAACAAAAAATCAGTTTAAAAACCTTGTTTGGAAAAAATATCCACTTTGTAGCATTTTTAAAAAGATACCAGCAGAGGACATCAATTCTAACACGGACTATCAACAATGCACTGCTAAAAACTAATAAAGCAGAAGTTAGTTGGAACATTTGCGATACATGATAAAATTACATAGTTCCAAGACGGTTTCAAGAGCAAGATGGTGGTGGAAACAGAGAATCAGCAATGTAGTAGAGAGTACACCTCAGATTCTCAGATTTTTATAGACAAAAGTGGCAGAAATCGTTTACGGGATTTTTCACGGACTACAACATTTATGAAACAGAGCATGTCACGTTTCAGTCACATCAGTAGTTATCGGATTGGTTAAAAGCTGATGATGCAAATCTGTTGGTCTTGGCATAAAAATCGAACTCTACCAGCTCTTTAACAGACTGATATGCTATGTATAGATGTATCCAGGGGCAGATGTACATATGCTGAAAATAAGTATTATTTTCTGCGTTAAAGAATGCTGTCCATCAAGGATGAATGGATCTTCATCAGTGCATACAGAGCATCAGCATGGCTTAGCATGAGATTTAGTCTGGGTAATAATGGATCAATGCTGTGAGATCGGATTGGACCTGCAAAGTGACAGAATCAAGTCAACCCTTTGGAAATGAAGGATCTTAGATCAGGATCTAAAGTGGATCCATTTTTAAAGTTTACCCATCTAGTTAATGATATGATGCCTGCTGACTGGATGACGAGCAGCAAGCAAAATAACTTTGAATGTTTAACAACTAGAACTACATAAGGTCTGGCAAGGAAGCTTTACTTTGTATATTTATTGTCCGTTACTCTTCTTTTACAGAAAATATTCAACCTAACAATCAAGTTTCTGGACTGTGTGATGAAGTTAGAGACCCAGGAGAGAACTTAGACTTAGACAAACTTTATTGCCATTTTGTATACACCGAGTGTATACAAAACTAAATTACGTTACTTACAGCTTACAACAGTGAAATGAGCAGCTTACAACAGTGGAATGAACATTACCATTTAAAGTGCAGCAGAGATCATCATGTAAAAAATAATGGTGCAAAAGGGCATTAATATGGAAATGTTCAGTGCAGTGCAACATAAATATTGTGCAAAATGCAGTATAAGATTGAGTTGTATCCTATTTAAAAGGATTATAAAAGCTTCAGCCACGTTGGTAGTGCAAAATGATGATGCAAGTGCAGAGATGGCAAAAGTACTCACTTTCCATACTTGAGTAAAAGTACAGATACTTGTGTTAAAAAATACTCTGGTAAAAGT